ACGTGCAAATGTTGTGGCAGCTGCGCGACAGTCAACGGCAGCACTACTGTCTATGCCCTCCGACGATTTTAGGCTGTACGAGTTTGCTTGAAGGTGCCAAACTTTAGTTTCGTTAAATATATACGACGTTGGTCTGTTCATCTGTATTGAAACACCAATCGCTGTTTGTTTTTGAATCACCATTTTGCACTGTGTAATATATTAAACACGGGGGGGGGTTTAATGCGGAATTTAGTTCAAAACTCAATAAATTTTCTAGGGACTACACCGCATATAAAATTCATTTTTATGTAATAAATTTTACGTGGTGCAATTTCGTAAAAGACTTGTCGAGGTTTGCATCATATGTGTTCCTCAACGAATGTCTTCATCGTTCGAAAGAAACTAAGCCTGGCCCAGTGGATTGGTCGAAAACAGGGATAATAGGATAGAAAGCTTTGTGGAACTGACGCACTACGCTAATCTCCCTTACGACTCTTTCAGCCAAGAGTATCAGACTTTCGTGCAGGAAAGATTTACACCCCAACTCTGGGAGGTTGATACGGTTGTTACGCGTCACTCGCGAATGATATATGTTCTTGATCAAAGCTGTGAAATGCTCCACTTACCTGAATCCTTTCGGCTGAACGAAGGTTTGGAAGGCATCGGCAATAATTCGCCAGGCTTAATTCTCCAAATGCAACGCCGAATAATTGCCAAGAATCCCTCAAGAACCGAAGAGATTATATAATCGTCGACTTGCGTTCGTGGTGCGCCCACAACTAGAAAAAGTTTAGGTTTAGGGAGGGATAAAATCTGCAAATAGCTATAGCAAGTACAATCTCTTGTCCCTTTTGTTTCTTTCTGATGCACAATAGGGCACATTTCTTTGACTCTGGTGGAGGAAACGCAAGCGATTTGTCCCAGATTCAAAACTGTGGTCTTTCGTCGGCTATTCCCGCACCCAACGAATTGAGTTCTCTGATTTAGACAAGGCGAGCGGAAAAGTTAGGTCTGATATGGGGGATCGACCGCACCATATCGTTGTTTTCATAGTAATAGCCGTGAGTTACGCAGGTGAATGCCTAGTACAGTAATGCAACTAATGCCAAGGCTGAAGCTCCAAGCACTTTAACACTATTTAACTTAAAAATATTGATGCGCGTGTTAGACAGTACCAATAAATGGTAAAACTACCAATCTCACCATCTAATACTAATAATAGTATGATATTATCTTCATCTTCCTTCATCTTCCTTCCTTTCGGATCGCGGAGGCAGACGCGTCAGAGAGTGCTTCCAACATTCCCGATCCTGTGCCAGAGTCTGAGCTTCAGCAAAAGACAAATGCAGTCTGGAACAGAT